AGCCTCCCTCCCCCTGGCCTCAGGAAGCCTGTGCTGGGATGAGAGGTGGTGGCTGGGAGGGTCCCCGATTCCCATGAGGACGGCCATCAGCATGTCCTGAGAAGGTGGAACAGGATGTCACTGTCCTCCTGGCACACAGCGCTCACCTCGACCTTCCAGTGGGGTGGGGTCCCCAGGTTGGCTGCTCCTGAGTCCCCTTTCCCACAGCACTACACCGAGCCGTCATGGTGGTCCTACCCCTGAGCCTGGTCCTGCTTGTGTGCGGTTGGGTCTGTGGGCTGCTCAGCTCCCTGGCCCAGAGCGCGCCTCTGCTTCTCTTCACTGGCTGCTACTTCCTGCTGGGGGGTGAGTCTGGGCTCTCGGGGAGTCAGCTCCGAAGGTGGAAATGGGACCACGGGTTCTGGAAGGGGAGTGCCGCCTCTCCTGTTCCCCTCTAGGCCGGTGCTGAGCCTGGGCCCACCTGGGTCCCCCTGCAGCCCTAGAAGCTGCCCTGGGTGGCCCTGGAGCCTTTGTAGGGAGGGGCAGGGCTTCTGGTTATGGGGTCAGAGGCTGGGACAGGGAGGAGCATCAGGGTTCGAGTTTCTTGGTGTTGGGGATGTGGGGAATTTTCCAGGCAGCCCCAGAACCTGTTCTGCTGGCTCAGGTCATGCTGGGGTACACAGGACTGGTCCCCCACAGCTGCCTTTTCCTTCCCTGTCTGTCCTTGTGGGAAGTGCCAAGCGGGCAGGGGTTTGGCACAGACGAGGCAGAGCCAGGGGTCAGGGAGGGTGAGACAGGGCATCAGGGTCCTCAGCATTGCCCCCAGCCCGGGCCCAGACTGTAACTGTATGCTCCATCAGTGACATGATCTGGCACTGACTATGTATGTACCAGGTACAGGGCCAAGTGTACCCCCTGGGCTCCTCGGTCCCACCTCACAGGTGAGAAATCTGAGCTCACAGAGGTCTGAGGACTGCCAAGATCCTGGGGGCCCCTTCACTGCCTTTGGGCAGCCTTCCCAACCCCCCATAACTGCCCAAGGCTGGCTGCTGCCGAGGGTGGGCTGGGGGCTCCTGAGGGTGAGTCCTCAGTGGCCATTGCCATCTGGGACCAGGCCTGAGCTGAGGCCAGTGTCTCAGGCCAGCTCTGCTGTCTAGAGGACCAGGCCACTTGGGGATGGGTGCTCTCCCAGGCAGGCCTGCTTCCCTGGATGCTTTGGGAGGCCTGTGTCAGGAGGGGCTTGGTTCCGACTGGAGCTGAGAGTGGGGAAACCAGTGGCCGTGGTTTTGGTCCCAGGCTGCATGAGACTAACTCTGAAGTCAAGGTCTCCTGTAGACGATGAAATCAGGAGGAATCAAAATGTCAACTCTGAGCCGGGCTTGGTGGCTCAGCCTGTAGTCCCACGCCTTGGGAGGCTGAGGTGAGTAGGATTGCCTGAGCCCGCGGTTTGAGACCCGCCTGGGCAACTTGGCGAGACCTCTACAATAAATCAAAAATCAGCCGGGCGTGGTAGTGCGCGCCTGGAATTCCGGCTACTCGGAAGGCTGAGGCAGAAGGATCGCCGGAGCCCAGCAGGTTGAGGCTGCAGTGGCCAGGAGCGGCCACTGCACTCCAGTCTGGGCGACAGAGTAAGACTCCAACTCAAAAAAAAAAAAAAAAAAGTCAACTCTGAGTCTGACTCTCTGGAGACCATCAGAGAGTGTTCAAAATCCAGTTAAGAGGAACTTTGGAAACCAGAGACAGGAGTAATTGGGTTGGGATCGTAACCAGGAGACCTCACAGTGACGTGAAGCTCGCATTGTGCAGGGAGTGAAGGCACTGGCCAGGAGATGGGGGTCTGGGGACAGCTCCTGGGGGGCATCCCCCTCAGCTCCAGCCTCCCAGGCAGAGGCCAGAGAAGTTACAAGGGGAGGCGGGGGTCTGAGGTTTGAAGAACATTCCACCAGCTCCCCTCACTCACGCTCCAGTCTTGCTGCCACCACTTCCCTGTCACCACGGGTTCCCCGTGGGACAGGATCACTCACAGCCTGCTCCCAGGGGTCACCCAGGTGGTTCAGGTGGGGAGGATAGACACAGCAAGGCCCCAGCTCTCAGCCTACAGGACTAAGGGTCAGCTGTGGGCCGCAGCACACGGGGCTGAGACAGGGATGTCACCAAGGACACCTGCCCAGGACTACCCCACCCTTCCCTTGCATTAGCACTGGAATGGGGGTAGGGAGAAGTGGGGTACAGGAAAGGTTGGGATGCCCTTCCCTGAGACATGATTATCGGGGGACAACGGGACAGATAGGAGGTCTGCAGTGGACCCCATCATCAGGGACAGTCGGGTGGGGCTCCAGGTGGAGTCCCAGCATGGGAGCTTGTTTTTCTTTTTTTTTTGAATTGGAGTCTCACTCTGTCCCCCAGACTGGAGTGAAGCGGCCCCTCCCGGCCACCGCAGCTTTGACCTGCTGGGCTCCGGCGATCCTTCCGCCTCAGCCTTCCGAGTAGCCGGAATTACAGGCATGTGCTACCACACCCGGCTGATTTTTTGATTTATTGTAGAGATGAGGTCTCGCTGCCCAGGCGGGTCTCGAACCCGCGTGCTCAGACAATCCACTCACTTCAGCCTCCCAAAGACGTGGGATTACAGGCTGAGCCACCGAGCCTGGCAGGAGCTTGTTTTTAACCCCGCTCTGGCTGGTCAGAGGCAGCTGGTGTCTGGAGAGGACTCAGGTGGTGGGCGGCTGGTGGGGGAGCAGAGCCTTGGGCTGCAGCTGAGGGAAGTGCCCAAGGCGGAGACAGACACCCGCTGCCACCCAGGTCCTGCTGCTGGGGGCTGACCTCCCCCACTCCTACTTCCCCAGACCCTGCTTCATTGAATTCAGCTTCACATCCTTCCAAAATTAAACCCGTGACTTCTGCTGTTGCCCTGCACACAGCTGGTGGTGCGTGACTCCTTTGGTTTCCCTCCACCTTCTTCCTCCCTCTCTCTCCCTATCTTCCCCTTCGCCCCCCACCCCACTCCCCTGCTTTGTGGAATTGCCGATGACCAGGTGAGAGGCAGTATGGGACCGTAGGGCTGTGTCCCTTTGGCAGGCACCAGGGAGATTCAAACCTGGTCCTGGACGTCAGCTTGGGTCAGTCACCTGTTCTTTGCTGGGCAGTGCCCCAAGGGGACACGCACATGCAGGAGGTGTCTGTGGGGGAGTCAGGGCCACCCGCTCTGGCCAACATCCTCTAGAGTTGGCACCAGGGACAGGCTTAGCCATCCGCCTTCAGCTGTGGGCAAGGGTTGGTGCTCTAAGCTGGTCCCCCGGCCCAGTGGACAGGAAACTGTCCCAGAGACCTGTGGGCTGAGGCCTTTGCCAGCTCTTTGCTGGACCCTGGGCCACCAGACGATGGGTCACCTGGTGCCCGTCACCCTATGCAAAGCCAGTCTTTCATGGAAGACAGGTCTGACCACGTGGAGAGTCAGAGGGAGGGGGGAGAAGGGCCCAAGGCAGGCATCCTCCCTTGGGGAGGGATGGGTGTGGGAGCAGAGACCTGGGAAGGTGAGGATACAGACATCAGCCCCAGAGACGGGGAAGGTGAAGATGGGAGAAAGAGAGAGCTGAAGGTGCAGAAAGGGAGAGCTGGAGGTGCAGGCAGGGACAGCTCTGGGCAGAGCACCTGCCACCCCAGCAGAGGCCAGTGTGTGTGTGTGTGTGTGTGTGTGTATGTGTGTGTGTGTGTGTTGGGGCAGTGAGGATGCAGGATGTAGGGGGGACAGTTATGGGAGCACAGGTGGTACTCTTTGCAGGGGTTCTGTGGAGTGGGGTCTCTGGGGTTTGAGGACTGAATCGGAGCCTCCCAAAACCCCATTCCCAATTCAGTGTGTGCCACCTTCAGCGCCTGGCCCCGCCCAGTCCCCAGGGGTGAGATGGTGTCTGGAAGAGGGCCCAGGCTGAGGGCCGGACAGGTTAGCCAGGACAGGGGAGGGCAGTGAGCGGCCTGCCACTTTGCCCCAGGTGCCAGAGGGCAGGGGCCCCGAGGCCGTGTCCACAGGACCACCTGGGCCAGGTCCTGCCTGTGCAGACACTGAATGGCCATCTGTCCCCTCTCTTCCCCAGGTGCCCTGACCCTGGCAGGGGTCAGCGTCTACATCAGCTACTCGAACTTGGCCTTCACAGAGACGGTGCGGCAGTATGGCCTACAGCACGTGCAGGGCGTCCGTGTCAGCTTCAGCTGGTCCGTGGCCCTGGCCTGGGGCTCCCTCGCCTCGGAGGCTCTCAGTGGCGCTCTGCTGCTCACAGCAGCATGGGCCCTCAGCCTGAGCTGGCAGCCAGGCGCCCCCCACCCTGTGGGCGTCTGAGTCCTCAGCAGGCGGGCAGGGCGGGGGAGAGGGTTGTTTCCCTTTGTGTCTCCTGGGATGGGTGGTCAGAGCCCAAGCCCCTCGAGAGGCTACTGGCGGGAAGCCGGGAGACCCTTTCATGGGTCTGGCGGGGTCCTGGCCCATGGAAGGGAAGGAGCCCTGGGGGTGGCAGAGGGCTGGGGACAGAACCAAGAATCCTGCCTCTTCCTGTGGCTCCCTGGGTGTTTGGAGACCCTCTCCTGTCCTCTTTAGGCTCTTTAGGAATGGACTGGTTTAACTACTTCTCAGAGATGAGAAAAGCCAGCCCAGAAAGAGGAAGTGGCCCAAGGTGGCATACATCGAATGGCAGAGATGGGTGGGGGGCCTCAGGTTCCCCTCGTGCCTCTTGAGGGTGTGGCCTGCGTCTGTCCATCCCCCAGAAGTCCCCTGTGCCACATTGACCCCCAATCCTAGGGACCTCGGGCAGTTCTGGGGAGAGAAGTTGTCTGTTAAGTGCCACTGCTGGGCACCATGCTGGAGCTGAAGACCCACCCGCTCTCCAGCCTCTCAGTGTCCCTGTGGATGGTTACTGTGTACCCCATGTTGCAGAGGAGAGACTGAGGCCCAGAGCGGTGGAGTGACCCACCCAGATCCCCTGGAACCAGATGCCCTCAAAGACTGGGGGCCTCCCAGGCCTCTGTGCTGCCCACTCTGTCAGAGGGCAGGTGTTGGTGGGAGGGAGGCTGAGGAGAGGGCCCCAGTGCCCCTGCAGTTTGCAGGGGTGGTGGGAGCTGAGTGGTCTGGGTGCTCCGCCCTCTCCCTTGCTTGCAAACCCATGAGTAATTTTCACCCAGAGCTTCCAGGCAGAGCAGGAACTCGGGTTTCTGTTCTTGTGCAGGGGCAGCCCGCCACTCCTTCCGACCCCTGAACTTTTCCCTCTGCAGTAACCTGGAGAATGTCTGTGATTGTGAGCACCCTGGAGGGCACCTTGAACTGGCAGAGGTGGAAGTCCCAGAAGGGAGGGGTGAGGCTGGGGCGTGTCCACTTTGATGCAGGTGGACAGTCAGGGGCACTGCTGGAGAAGGGTCCCTAGGAGCCGTGCAGCACTTAGAAGCCCCAGACAGCCCCATTTGGGACGTGAATCTTGGGACCTGAGCTGGAGGGTGATGCCGGCCTCTCAAAATGTCTTTCTTCTCCCTGTCCCGCCCCACGTCTCCCTTTACTGCTTCAAAGATACAGGCAATTCCTGGGGTTTGGGGCGGGGGTGGTGGTGGGTGACATCATGGCACCATTTTGGCAGGGCCCACTGAGGACAAAGAGCAAGGAGGTAAGGTGAGGGGACCTTCGCGCCCTCCTTGTGTTTATTTTACCATGTCATGTGGAAACATTGTGCCAAATTGTTCTTAAATAAATAATTTGTGCTGTGTGCAGAGAAAGGCTTTTATTTTTTTCTTAGAACTTTTCAAAATAAGTGGTACATACTGGCTCAAGCCTGTAATCCCAGCACTTTGGGAGGCTGAAGCAAGAGAACTGCCTGAGCTCAGGGGTTCCAGACCAACCTGGGCAACTTGGTGAGACCTCGTCTCTACAATAAATCAAAAAATAAGCTGGGCATGGTAGTGCACACTTGTAGTTCCGGCTACTTGGAAGGCTGAGGCGGAAGGATCGCCTGAGCCCAGCAGGTCAAGGCTGTGGTAACCATGAGGGTGCCACTGCCCTCCAGCCTGGGCTACAGAGTGAGACTCCAACTCAAAAAAAAAAAAAGGAATATGTGTCCATGCCTCACAAACAGGGCAGGGCAAACAACCACTGTTTCCAGCTATGCGTGTGGCCAGCCATGCTGGGACCACTTGTGTGCATGTGTGCATGTGTGTTTGCACCCATCCAGTGATGTTTTCTGCAGACACAAGCCTGCTTCTTACTCCTAGGCCAGCATAGGGATGGAAGGCGTCCCCAGGCCTCCATATTGGATCTGGGGCAGACTCTGTGGGCAGGTCCTCCTAGCTTGGGAGGAAGGGCTTCCGGGCCTCTCCTAGGCCCAATAGCATATGTTGAGGAGGCTTCCTTTAGGAGTTTTCTGGGAGGCTGGAGACGTGAGTTTAACCCCAGGCCTCTCTCACTGTAGATGGGCTTGGGCTCTGGGGATAGGACACTGGAGAAAACATACCGGTGGTTGCTGGGCTCGGTGGCTCAGCCTGTAATCCCAACACTTTGGGAGGCCGAGGTAAGTGGATTGCCTGAGCCCACGGGTTCAAGACCTGCCTGAGCAACTTGGCGAGACCTCATCTCTACAATAAAT